AAAAGAGAGAAATGTTAGGATCCTGGCCAATTTCGAAGTACGCATTCATGAGAAAGTACAATGCCGTCCAATTGCAAAAAGAAATGAATGAACTTGAGAGGCGAGAGAGGGAAAGAAGAAGAAGAAGAAGAAAGAACGAAGAAGACGAAGAAGAAGAAGAAGATGTACACCTGCAAAGACCAATGATAATTCCCGTCTTCTCGCCAATCACTCTCCTCCTCCTTTTCTCCTCCCCTCTTATTCAAACAATAAATAATAATAATAATGTTGAATGGATGAACCAGAGGCAGGCAGCACATGAGGTCGACCATAGCCATGGCCACTCTTCTCCTTGCTTCTCGAAGGCCGTGGCTATGGCGGACTAACAGTGTCTTGCCCTGCTGTGCAGAGGACAACACAAAGCAGCTATGTCGCTGCTACTCTGGCCGCTCTGAAGGCTGGTGCTTACTCAGGCAGCACGACGTCAAAACTTGCATACTGCAAATGAGGAGCTACTCGTTCCTCCTGGAGATATATCGGCTTACTTGCCTCTTGGGCAGTGACTTCCAGGCCGCGCGGCCTCAATAGCAACCGGTACTTCCTCCGTTTCGGAGGGAAACATCAGTGCAGGCTCTGATATCATCCGTATGGGCCTTAGACCCAGGCTACTTGGACTGGTACCGCCCTACCTCTAGCGTACCGCTGCTGGACCTCTAAAAATGCGGACTTTTTGTCTTCTTTTGCTTGGCCTCGAGTACCCGACGCTTCTACCACTACTTGAGTGGTATCGGCCTACCTGCTACTTCAATGTTTTTCCCGCTGCTTTGTTGTGGGCGTACCTCGGCTACTTGAGTGTTTTTCCCGCTGCAACCCTCAAAGTCACGGCCACAGGTAAGTACCGGCCCTGCAGGGCCTCCCAAGCAAGCAAGTACCCTTGCGGGTCACACACACACTCAGGCCAACAAGCACTCAGACAGGCAGGCAGACCATCACGCATGCACACACACACACAGACCTCAGCAGAATGTGGGAATGTCAGCAAGGCATCATTCCAGCGGCAGAACTCAGAATCAGCAGTGCTCTCAGTCTGTGTTATGGCGGGTCATTACAGAAAAAAGAATTCTCTACAATGAATCTGGAGCTAGTTGTCTAAGACACCTCTATTCCACTGGGCCTCTAGTCCAACATATTCAGGCCCCTCTCCATGTATCCCACTGTCCCCCCCCTGTGATGCCATCCTCAGCAATCCTCCCCTTTTTCAAGGGCCTCCTGGGCCTCGCACTGTCCCCCCCCTGTGATGTCATCCTCAGCAATCCTCCCCTTTTTCAAGGGCCTCCTGGGCCTCTTGATGCATTATTGCGACTTCCCCTTTCGCTACCCTGTGTGGGCCCCACCGCCCAACTGGCTGCAAAGCAAGCACAAAGACTCCTTTTCTCTCCACTGCAGCTTCTTTTTCTTTCAACTTACCTTTGTCTCCTTCGGGGGTCCCTTCTTACCCGTCCGATGTACGTGCTTGTCCAACAACCTCTCAACAAGTCTTGTGCAGATCGGCTTCTTGCAAGTCAGTTGGCATTTTGCAGAAAAGCCCACTCCATTTACAATATTGCATTTCACGTCCTCTCTTCCACTGATATTTTCATTAGGTTTCCTATGGCTCCAAGTGGTTCCATATGGTTTCAAATAGTTCCATATGGTTAAAAATGGTTCCATATGGTTCCAAATGGCTCCGGTATATGGTTCCGGATGGTTATCCTATGGTTCCATAGCATAGTTGCGGCGCACCTCGGTGCGCGGATTTGCGCACGCGCAGCGCATCGCGCGCACCGCACTGCGCACCGCACCAGAAAAATTAAGGTAAAAAAAAAAGAAAAAAAGTAGGGGTTCCATAATGTCCTACGGCACCCCCCCTGGAAAAAATGTCCAACTCGCCGCGCAAGTTCGGAAAATGTCCGCACCCCTTGGTTCAAAAAAATTTTTTTGGGCAAGGGTTGCCGAATTCTCAATTGTGTAGGCTGCTACCCCACAAATTTCAAAATTGCCGATTATGAAAATAGGGCTCATTGAGCCTCTAGGGTTTCGTTTTTGGGTGGGGCATGATAACTGGACATCCCCTTTCCTTCTGCAAATCCCACGCAGAGGTGGACAAATTTGCAAGAAGGGTATCATTGCCCAATATTGCCGTGGTCCCGCTGTCTAGCAGATGGCACACAATATTTAGTAAAGCCAGCCGGCCACCAATATATGCTGAAGTTTGGCGTTCAGGTCTGCATGTCGGCAGTTATGGGTTAGGAATTAGATGCCCGTAACTCTCTCGTTTTTTCTTTTTGTTTTCTTCTGAATACCTGTAGCTCTCTCGTTTTTTCCTTCTTGTCTTCTTCTGAATACGTACAGTGGCCCAAGGGGCCTCTGGCCACTACTCACCGCATCCACAAAAGACATACCATATGACGGTGTATGGCTCCATGTTTTAGCAGCGGATTCATTCAGATGTTTTTCATTCGGTGAGTACCACTGAGTGGTGGAGCTAGGCCATGAGAATCAGGTGGAGACACGAACAGGGTCTAGCTGAATTGGTGACCCATAACTCTGGAGCCACAGACCTGAACTCGGCCCCACAGAATATGTTGGTGGTCTGCTCCCACCTCTCTCATCGTGACGCGGCTACCCTGCTTGCTGAAGCAACCGTAACCAATCCCTCCACAATGTCGAAGTGCTAAAGTGCGTTGTGAAGGGCATTGCTGGAGTCGTATGAGTCTCCTACAAGGGGGCCCTAAATTGATGAAAAGGGAACCCTTTGGTCTCTCTTTCTCTCCCTCTCTCTCTCTGTGGCACGAATAAATGTTTTTTTTATTATTTAAATTATTTTTACTTTTTTATTTTTTTATTATAGATATATTATATAATATATATATTATATCAACCAGCATTCAACTTCGCGGCTTGGCCCCTGGAATGCATCGATCCTACCCTGTATCATACGTCTGGAGGTCTTGTTGATCATGGCCTCTTTCGGAGGGCTGCTGCACCCCGCGAGGGTTTTTGGGTTCGAAAACTTCGAACGCTTCACCCAGTCGGTTTCAATGCAGYMCTTCCAATGGCTAGATTGCCATCTCCACGACGACATTTACGTCCTTCCCGATGGAC